CCCCAAAACCCCAAAACCCCAAAACCCCAAAACCCCTGTAGGCAAGATTTATCATAGTAAAGCAATTAATGATTATCAATTAAGAATTCTAATTAAGGGTGCTTGTGAAAATTTGAGAGGACTTCGTTATCAATAAAATGACACATTTGACTTGTAGAATATATTGTGTCTTTGTTATTAGCTCGTGGATTTAGGTCTGTGACCTTTAATAATTTGATATTCTGAATTCTGAGGAATTGAAGGAGAACCGAAAGTTATTACATTTGGGGAAACATCTCTATAGCATTATTTGTTATATTGAAGTGGCTATGTCTAATCAAAGACTTACACACTCATTCTATGTGAAGTGAAAGGATTTTAATTCATTTGAGGTTTTGAAGAATTGTTTATTATCTAAGGTTCTTGGCAAGAGAAATAGTTCTGTATACTGGTACCTATTTTAACATTTGAAGCACTCTTCTTCATTATGTTACAAGCATAATTTTGAGGTACTGAAGGGTCATCACTTCCAAGAGGCAATGAGTTTTTACCTTCAAATACTCTTTTATAAGTGCCAATAGTGGATTATTTTGGTTTCATGTCCTTAATGATCTTTTGATAACTCCCTGGAAGACATGAAATACCACTAGCTTCTATAAATTATCTTTAAGGGCTTCTTCTTGAAGTCTAACATTACTAATTGTATTAAAGATTTTAGTAGTTCATGTTTTCTTTGAACACTATATCCGCTATACTGTTCGAATGTAAAGACTTTGCTTGATACCTTTCGATGCTTTCAGTTTTAGGTGGTTGATTTTCTTTTCTAAACTTATCAGGCTGTAGCATTACCTTAACCACTGTTCTCTTAGGAGAAGAGTTGTTGCTCATCATTTTCTTAGCAAATTTCTAGGGCTTAGGCTATTTTTCCACACCATTTATGAAATTGTAGCTGGTGTCATTTCTCTTGTTGATAGTAGTGACTAATTTTTTCTATAGTGCCCCATTAAATCTATCACTAATTGGGTCTTGGAAGTGAACTACATTTTCACTGTATTATTATTCTCTTAGTCCCTTTGAAAAGATATGAGCAGCAGCATTTTACATGCTTGGATCCTAAATATATAGCGATTAGCAGACAGATTCATAGCTATTAAGCTATCTCAGAACATCATTTACTTATTCTTAAGTTGTATTAGCACCCAATTTGCTTACTAGTTTCTTAAGAGCAGCATAATATTGGTTGTTATTTTGCTATTTTTACTATTACGGTTAAACTTTCATTTTTTGAGGTTATTAGACTTCTCTGAAAGAGTGACTCATGCTAGTTGCATGTCTATTTGACTGTTAGAAATATGGAGAGGTTGACCTTTTGTCCATAAAAGATCTATCACTTGATTCATAATGCTGATTGGACCAATTTGTGGTAATTGAAGCAGATGATATCGCTTAATTAATAACTTTTATGGGCTCATCATTGATTACTTCATGCACATTTCTTACCTCAGGCTCTTTAAAATCCTTTTTTATAAGCTGCTTTGATGTTTGTATTTTTAATTGAGGCATTTTACAATATTACTATTTCTTTTATTTCAAAGTATTATTTCTTGGTCTCTCGAATTCATAATTCAACAGCTATTTAGTCGTATGGGGTTTTGGGGTTTTGGGGTTTTGGGG